CATCTCTCTATCCAGCTTCATCTCTATCCAGCTTCTATTCTTTCCTCTTGTCAATTGAATTAGCAGTTTAACTTGCATGTTCACTCACTTCCAGGGTGGTCTTTACTGAAGAAACACTCTACCTTCTCGATCAGCGTTTTCCTATCAATCAACCCCACTTGAGTGACACACACTTTCTGTGACCTGTTGCACTCCAAAAAGACACTGCCTACTCTCCAGTTGCTTGCCGTCTCCCCAGAATTACAGTGCTATTGAGGAGGTGACCAAAATCAAAACAACTATAAAGCTACTCAACCACTTCTGCTTTACTGGAGACTTACTCATGTGTGACACAAACCAAAAAATTTCAGAAGCCAGAAATTATCTTCAAAGAGCTATTCCAGACAGTTTAAAAAAAAAAGGCGTTAATTCCCTAGTTAAAAATATTGCAGCATGCTACTTTTTTAGTGAGGCAAGAATGCTTAAGGTAGTTAAAAAAAACAAAAACCTCTTTAAAGTCAACTGAAATGTAAAAAGCCTTAAATAATCCTGAGTTAGTGAGGCTTATAAAAACATCATCTTTGAGCACATCCTTTGTAAAATCATCTCATTTTAAACATATCAGTACTTGAGAAAAATCCACCTTTGCAGCACCTAATTACCCTTAGTGCTAAAATAAATCCACACTTCTAGTGTCAATTCATATAGCTTAATTTTCTTACTGCTTGAGTTTAGTATTCCATGTCTGTTAAATTTAAGTAGCTCCTTACTAAGTATTTCCTATGTAGGTATTTACTAACTGGAATGAAGTCACTCCTCAACTGTTAAGTTAAACATGTTGAGCTCCTACAAAACCTTGCTGTGTTTTTTCCAGTACCTCACTCATTCCTATAGCTCTTCCCTGAGCCTTCTCCAGCCTTTTACAGTCTCTCCTGAACTATAGTTTTCCAGGACCCGTTACACTAATGCAAACGGAGACAAGATATACATATTTTAACTGCATGACAATCTTTGATCAAACAGCTTCCTTCAGCCAAGCACCAAGTATGAATGGCTGTACGTGTACATCCCAGTAACAAATGTACTTTCCTAGCTTTCACTCACTTTTCCCTTGCATTTAGGGTCTGGAAACGCATTGCAGGAACTATGGTTATTTCCTCCCAGTTGTGTAGCTTCAAATTTGTGTTTGCATGGCTGTATTTTGCAAAGCAAGCCAGGCTGTCTTACAACAGTAATTGATTTATACTTCTACTAGTCATCTGTCATCTTCAAGCTGCTTGGATTTTACCTCAAGTAACAGATGAAGGTATCAATCCATTACCATGGAAGAAGGCCAGGAGCTAGTTTGCTAAGCCTCAGTGGTCTTCGTTTGCAAGTGCGACGTCAGTCGACGTGGCTAGTCCATTCAATTTCTTGTGTTTATTCTGTATTACTCCAGGCTTATGTTTAAATACTGTGAAGATACCAAGGCGCTACCCTTGGGCCAATATCTGGCCCTTCCCAAGAGCTGATTTCTCAGGAAGCCATAAATCATTTCCCTGACAGCACCCTGTTTCCTACAGCAAAGCAGGTCACTATCTGTTGCCCCCTACCCCCAGCATATGTAGCCAAGGGCTCCCCTTACACAGTCCTCCAGTCTCTGAAGAGTCCATTTCTAGAGCCATGAATTGCTAGAAAATGCAACATTCAAATTGAGGAAGATCTTTTAGTTACAAAGCAGGGGCACAAGGCAAAACTATTTCATTAGCTCTCTACTCTCAGCACTTTTTGGGCTGCTTGGCTTAGCTCCGAGGAAGCCAGAAGCAGCGAATTACACAAAGCACACAACTTTGAAGTGTGGCTTATGTGGAAGAGGCACATTACCACAACCGTAACTAACCAGGCGAGGCCTAGGTTCCCAGGGATGGTGAAAAAGTTACCCACGGTACAAGCTGCATGTCTTTTCAGGGCAACCTACATGCTTTTGTCAAACTCTTGAGAAGAGAACGCCCCCCCCCCCCACCCCCCCCCCCCAAGGACAGCCCAGAGCTGCTGCAGCCAAATCCATTTAGAGGACAGGGCAGTCACAAAGCTTTTCCCAGCAAGCCCTACAAGCTGATGATGAAATGGCTGAAGCCAAGCTGTTCCTGACTGAAGGACATCAGGCATTTTCATAGCAGGGTGGGATACATCATCCTCTGAGGCTCCAGACTTTCAGCACTTTAAGTTAATGTTTTTAACATGGTCACATCGAAACCTTGTAATCTTTGGGATGCTGAAAACTTAAATTTCCACTTACTGATAATAAGCATTAAACCATTCTTGCTGGCTATTGCCATAGTGCTCTTCAGTAAACACTGACTTTGGAGGATTTACATGTATTTAAATATTATTCTTCTTTCTTCCTCCCTCCCCCTCACCCCCCATCTGGAAAGAATTATTCTGCAAGTCAAATGACAATCATTTGACTCATACAAAACAACAAGAAACCAAGACTGTAAGTAGATTTATACCACATCCTTCAGGGGTTTAGTTTAGTTTCACATAGTGAAACATCTAATGGCTTTCATAATTTTCAACAGATAACTAGAAATTAGCCATACCACAAACACAGTGGATACACAGTTTCCAATAACGCTTAACTAATTTTTTTCTATGCTCTGAAGAGAAAAAAAAAACTCATCATATGCAGAAATAAAATACGCTATTTTTAAAGCGTATTTAAGCATTCAGCTATTTTTAGATTTTTTTCCTCCCTAGAACAGTGTTATGTAAAAATCAATAGATAAGAGATTATCTTATAGTTGAAGACATAGCACACTAGTCATAAAGATACATGGTTGACATTATTCTAGATGTAAACTTGGAACAATATTAAACTTTAATCTCATTCTATGGTGATTCATACACAGTTTCCAAAACAAATAAATGAACCACTGCATTTGTGTCGCCCCCCCCCCCCTTTTTTTTTAACTATAATTTTTATTTAAATAAGACACAGGACCTTCTATACCAAAAAAATACAAAACAAAAGCCACACATTTCCTTGTGTAAAGCAATATTATGTGATAACTTGAATACTGTTCAGCACAGTGGCTAGAAGTAACAGTACAACTATGTACAAAACTTTAAACAATATTTGACAAATTTCTACAGCTGGATGTAGAATACAATTGAGAAACAACTGCTGGGAAATTTACATGGCAAAGCATAAGCTTTAACACATTTGGTTCAAACCCTTCAAATCCGCTAAGAACAAATGTGCAATTTAATTAATATTTAGTTTCTCGTGGAAAAAATAAAAAGAACAATGTAATGGCATTGCCAATATTGTACAGAGTTCATCACTGATCTAAAAACCACTCATCATACCCCCGGTAACCTAACACCAATAACAGACTACGATTTCTTATCTGGACGTAACCAGAGCATAAAAAGGTCATCATACTGCAATGTTAGTCTAGAAAGAAAAATATTAAAAGGAATCGATACTTACATCACGAGTATTTTCTCCCCTTTATCTGCAGTCTATAAAATATATAGTGTTTTCACCTAGGCCTGAGATTAGTAGGGTTAAAGATGGCTGTTGTGTTTCAAGGAGGCTTTTCACATGAAAATGGTTAGAGACAGATCTCTCTCTCCTTCTATATTTTCTGCAAGGGGAGTCAAAAAACAGTGACTGTTTTATAGGCTGCAAATTCTACCTTGTAACATAGTATTAACAAAACCTCAGTAATAAAAAGGTAATGATGTTTTATCTCCAAAGAAAGCACATATTTAGTGAGTAGTTATTGGTGGCTCACTCTCACCCCCCTCCAATCTCATCTTCAAAAGAGGAAAAAAAACATAATAGAGCAAGTTTAAATGCTCAGTAGCTGCAGGCTACTAATCTCTTCAATTCCTGGAAAAGGTGAACCTTATTCTCTTAGGAGCAGACAGCATAAATGTAGTTCCACTGAGCTGAAAGCAACAGAGCAAGAACATCAAGTTTATTTTGCCTTTGGGGTCCTCTTTGTATCACAGGAAATTATCTCTGAAAGCAATGCTCCTCTTGTTCCAGTACAACAGAAGAGCACCACTAACCCGTTCTTGCCATGTACTATTTTGAGAAAGTGTCCAGCCTGCAAAACCAGGATTATTTTACAAGGATTTTTTTTTTTTTTATTCACACTTAAGGAGGGGGGAAAACACACTTTTACACACACAACTTAAGTAACTGAAAGTTATGGGAGAAGCTTTGATTAAGTAACATGAACTTAAAACTATTGTTTTCCCCACCCCTCTTAGAACACCCACTTGCTACTTTTGGACTTCAATTCAAACACAATTACTCACTACATAAATAAAATGCTCCTCATCTAACACTGCTTGACAAAATCTGAAAACCTATTTCCAACCAGCAAATGAATTAACATTTCCAAAAGAGAAACTAAACATTAATTTGACTTTTAGACGGTAACAGTAGCATTTCACATCCTTAACTGCCAACAAAAACTTGAGAGGAAATCCCCATCACCCCCTGTGAAACCTGAAAGAATTTCTGTCCTTGAACAAAAACATTCTTGTCTTTCAAAATCCTCTCACACACAATGTGGAATGTTTCTCATGTACAGCCTAGTACTGAACACTTTATTTGCAACAGTTTAACAGTCATTAACTGAGCAACACCTGAAACCTTTAAATGCCACATTTTTACGTATATTGAAATGACAGTAAATGCAACAGTTGTTTTGCTTGTAAGCACATGACAAAGTGATATACATCACAGATTTGCTGGTTCTCCTCATGTTCACCCATGTCCAGGGTCATCGTTCACCTGGATCTGAATGCACTTATTCCAAGAAAGTGGAATGTAATGAGGAAATATTAATGCATAAAATAAGGAAAGGCAAAAGAGTGATGTTCCCTCTTTAGCTTTGTAGCTGTAAAATATTTTATAATCCAATATGATATACATTCCAAGTTACCTGAGTTTACACTTCGAGAGAAGTACCTGAAGCTAGGCCATAGGGTGGGCACTGTGCAACTGTTGTGGCCATTTTTTTTTTTTTTTTTTTTGCATTGTGTGTATTACAGAAGTTAGAAACATAAACACCTGGATCAATTGTAAACATAATCCTGAAGTACAGTATTTTCCATAGGACACAACACAGCAAGACATTTTCTATTCAGACAGGCAACTTTTTTTTTTATATATATATATAGAGAGCTTATTTATACTGTAGAATTTGAAACAGAACACAGGACACAGTACTAATCTGGTCAAACATACTATGAAATGCATAGTCTCCACTTAAAATGCTTAATGATATATGGATTCTGCAGGCATTACTGCTTTCTCACAAAAAAATGCTGAATGTGAATTCTGTCCCTGCCAAGAACAGCGTTGAGATATTTTTTCAAATGCTGCTAAGTATTCCATGTTGTTCTGAAAGGTTGCCACCTCATGCAGATGTATCTGAACTATTATCTCCTCAATCCTTGTTTCAGGGCAGAGGCCTGCTCCACCTTGGTCTAGATTAACACATAGCTCTGAGGAGAGGAATGGTCTTCAGTCTGAATTTCTTGCAAAAGCGGCTGCTGCTGCTGTTGGGACGGTTGCTGTACTGGGACCTCTGTAGAGTCCATTGTGCTGGTGTCATCTGACAGAGATGAGAAGGAGACCCGAGACGAAAGCTGCTCAACAGTCAGGGTGCTCAAAGCTGTGCTTTGACCAGAGTTTGGAGAGTTCTTCAGCGTCAGGTCTGAAGCGGGAAGGAGGGGGCCCAGAAGTTTTACAGGACAGAAAGCTGATCCGGTTGGGATGAAATTAACCTTGTTTTTGTCAGGACATGAAAAGAGAGGGGCTGAGACAGGCTGACGAGACCTACAACAAGAAAAAAGATTATATACCTGGCCAACTAAGATGTTTTATATGTCATGAACTTTGTGGTTCTACACGTTGCTAAAATGTGAATGACAAGGAATGGGATTAATTGGACAGAGGGGCAAACATCTTCCATATTGGCAGTCAGCTAACTGATCCACAGCATTAAAAATAGTACCGTCACAAAAATGACTTGATCGTTACTGGATAAACATGCAACTTCCAGCAAGAAAAATCTGCAGTACATATGCACATGAAAAAATGCCGTGGTAATTTAGAATGGCACAAATTCTTCTTTAATAAAAACAATGCAGCAACAACACATTTAGTCATATTAAATCCCTTTGAGAACCTCCACGAAATAGACCTCTCCTTTCCCACATTCCGTAATTTGCCTGGAGGCTTCCTCCACAACCCAACATTGCTCCTTCACCATCCAGCAGGCAATGAATGCTGTTAGAGCAAGAAACGTCCCCTCCTTAATTCTTTCATCCACAGGAACTAAGCATGCAACCTCGACAGCATGTGCTCAAAGACTGCTGGGTCTAGGGGAAAAAGACATGATGTCCAAGAGTTTAATTTCCAATTTCTTGCTCAGCAAAAATGTTGAGCAAAGTCTATGCCATAAGTATACTACTGTCTATGAACACTTTACATAGGTTTCATTCCATTTTATGTTTTATACGTATCAAAACGTAACCTATGCTTGAAACTGATAAAGAATTATAACCAGGAGAGTTTTTGTTTTAAGCCACGAACATTTAAAAAGTTAATAAAATATATGGAAAGAGGTTTATAAACGCTTAGGAAATTAAATGTACCTTATCTTTTCTGCTTGGATTTTTGTTGCCTTTTATAAATGCACAAAAAGAGTTCAAGCATAAAAGACTCCATTTCCTCTTCAAACCAACGTGAACACTTCAACTTCTCTTCTGTACAAACTCTAAGAATAGTTTGCTCCTGAAAAACTCATCAGCTGGAATAGTTTATTCATCTGCAGTTGAATAGGCTCAGTAAACAGGTTTACTGCTTTGCAGATACCAGCTGATATAAAAGGCATTACTTACGACATTTCCTCAAAGACCTTCACTCGCTCACATCCCTCTGGGGGCTCTCGTTTGAACATGTAGCTGTTGTTTGGTTTGGGAGATGAGGCATACTTGGGCAACGGTGAGCTACTCCCACTGTCTGAAAATTTAAAGCAGTTATATTACTAGAGATTGAGAGTGCTTTTTAATTAAATTCGATTTCCAAACAAGATGCCTTTTTTTCACAATTTAGCCACTATGCCGGTTTGCTTCTACCACAATGCTTCCTTTATTGCAGGCTATTTCTAACACCCTTGTATACCACATTTCTTCTGAATAAAAGCTTCAGTGCAGCAGTAATCTATCATATAACAACACATAACAGGAGGATATTTTTATCCAGAACACTGCAATCGGAACAAAGCAGAGCTGTGATCCTGGAAACAAATACGTTCTTTATTATGTATTTCAAAAAACATAAATGAACAAGGTAATATGCGTAATACATGCAGAAGAATTATGAGTGGTAATGATAATACACCTTCTCACTGTATAAACACAGTTATTGAAAATGTGTGTATACAGCATGTATCTTATTTTAAAACCTAATTCTTCACTGGAATAATGACCTCATTAGTCTCATGAATAGTTCAGAAGCTACAAAGAAACAAAGCATGTTTGTAACACAGGTACTGATACCTCATTATTACAATGTCCTACCTTACTTGCTTCACAATTGTGAAGTTGTTTTAGTATCCAAAATAAAACTTCCACAATTCAATTCTCTCATCACTACTAACTATATGATATAGGTATTCTTCATAACCCTAGCTGTCTGTGTATATTTTACTAGGCACGCTTACAACTAAAGGTGTGAGGATCTAGGACGCAAGGCAATAGGCAGATTTCTTTGCACTTCTCAGAAAATAAGAGAGAAGGCTCAACTTTGGTAATGACAGAAGCACAAAGGTTTGAAAAATTAAGGCTATGAAAGGGTTCACTTTAAACACATATCTTGACACAATGATATTCAGTGCATTAAGGAAATAAAGTAGGCACAAAAATAATTACAGAAAATTAGCTTTCTGCAGTGGCTTCTACCTTTTCAAAGAGCAACACCTATCTCAGGCTAGTATAGTGGCTCCCTATTCTCTGCTTGGGCTTACAATTAAAAAAATGAAATGAATCCCCCAAATTACAAACACACCTTATTTGGTGAGAAATAACCGCTCTCGCTTTCCACTGATGTGAGGTACCTTACGATTTTTAACTCGGATACCTTTGTTTATTCTGCTGTTGTTCATGTATGCCTTTTCAGCAACAGTGGAAAACCAACAAAGCTTCAAGCACTATGATCTAGATTCACTGAAGCATATAAGGTTGCTTTTAACAGCTTGCAAACAGTAACTGCATAAACTTTTGTATAACCATGACTCAAATACAAAGGCTAATCATTAGAGGTTTTGAAACATCTCTGCTTCCTCTTACAAGACACAAATTAACTCAAATGTCACACTTCCCTTTGGAGATTTACTATGAAAGATATGACAAAAAACCCCAGCTGAAGTGAACCTCAGTAGCGTATTGATTATTCAGCTTGTTCCTGCTGTAGGGTGAACACAGAACTTCTATTTAGAGAATTTTAGGTGTTAACTGTATGAAGGCAGAAAAAGCTTACAGACAATACAGATATTTGCCAAGCTGGGAGCATGATGGTCCTGTTGGCATCTTTCCACTGTTGGCCCACACAGCTCATTCCAAACACAGAAATCATTAACAGAACCCAGACAGTTTGTTTCCTCCTTCTAATATTTAAAATTGAAGATCCAAGTTTCTATTTAAAAAACCTGAGACACAAAATGTGCTACTGTTCATTCCACCAAATAGTGGAAAACTGTAGAAGTACATCCAAGGAAAGATTCAAACTGAATTCAAAGTTAAGTCAGTTCTTGGAAGGTTTAGAGTCTTGTCTAGCCAGTTCAGTTTTCAATCGAGTTTTTGGTTTATTTAGCCCTGTCTGGCTGAAACTTTCTATATAAGACAGCTGTTAAACAAATAAAAAAAAAAAGTACATTGTATAATTTAACCATTCGGTTTCTCACTTTACCCTCCCTGCTTTTAAAGCTTGCTAAGTTGTTAGCTTTTCATTTTGACCAAACACACACCACAATGCTATTTGAAAAATACGTGTGGTTATTAGGAGGCTCACATGTACAAGCTTAGTGTTGGTTCTACACGTAGAGCAGCGGTGTGAGAATGGAAGGGTACTGGGAAAATAGGCCATGAGTAAAAGTGGTAAGAGGTGGTACTTACAGCTTAAGCCAGTCTCCACTTGTGTATCTTGTAAGCTTTTAAGTTCTAACCTGTCACGTTATTAATCCTTAACGACACTGCAAATGTGTATTCTCAAACTGTGCTATTTATAGATTTTTTTTTTTTTTATTGTTTCAGATGCTGCAATGCACGAGCCTTCACGTCACAGGACACGTCTGCATCTGCCACGCTTCCACCAGTAGGGTGTGCTCTGCTGGCGTATTTCAGCCAACTAATCAAATTTCATTAAGATGACAATGATTGAAGATTAACAGATGTAACCTTTAAAGTGAGTTTTGTTACCATAACCACATAGCAGACAATATGGAGCCTTATTACACAGAATTTCTAAACATAAATATTCAAAATGGGTATGTTCTGTTATCTAGAAAATGTTTAAGATTATAATTAAACATTAAAAATACTATTTTAACCAGAAGACTTAATACCACAAATTCTAGCTTGCATATATTAGAGCAACAAAGGAGACAAACTAAAAAATAATCTGTAAAACAATTTTTTGAGTGACAAAACTTAAAGGAAACAAGAAACTTTTTCAGTGAGCCTTGGGATTTGTTTTGATATGTTCAAAAATACCTTTGTTTCTTAGGAGTATCCAAAGCCTTCACATACAATTTTCATTTTAAAAGCTATGAATCAGATGCCTAGAAGTTGAAAAGTATCTTCAGCTCATCTTCATTAACATGTTGCTTGTAACAGGCTGCTAGCAACAGTGGGAATACACAATGCTACACAAAAGCACCTAAATCAAAATCCCTGAAAAACAGGTTATACTATCTAGTTTTGTACAAACCCCACCCCCAAATTTTATCTGCTTATACCTTAGGATGCCTTTGAACTTTACCTCTGTCACAGCTGCTAAGTATGCTATGTAGCACTCTGAATTATAGTCTCATGGACCAGAGTATCATAAAACAGATCTAGTGAAACCAGCAGCTTTAATGCAGCAAGGCAGTCACTTACCTTGCAACAGGCTGATATTTGAAAACAAAATCATAAAGCCAGGCGTCATTAAAATACCTTCCCTCTCTGCTCCAATCAATACCATTTAGTATCACTGCTCCATTCGGAGCAGTATTGTGCGCCTTTTCTGAAATTTAGCTTTCACTTTATTTTGAAAAATTCAATAGATTTAGCAGCTTCTTGCAGAAATATAAACCAAACAGCTGATACAGTCCAAAGAGCAGCTGTGAGGGCCTCAGGCCAAAGCGCAGCTTTGCACAAGAAATAAAAGATGCTTTAGAAATGTAAAGCAGTGCTGTGTCTGTACAGAGCGCTGGCTCCTCTCACTGCTCATGTCTCTCAGTCAAACTACTAACCTTCCTTTCCGATTCAGCAACACACTCAGGAGCATTCATAAAGCTGATAATTATATTTTTTAATGGTAAAGCCAAGTTATTCCCATAGAGAGGAAAATAAAACCTCAACCTGAGAAAAGTAACAGAAAAATATCTTGGGTTTAAAATGTCTACATTTGGTTATACAATGCCTTTTTCAAAACTTAACAGGCCTCACAGTAAACTCACAACAGTTTTATTCTACCATCACAAAGACCTTTAAAATGAAGGTGCGAAAAACTTGGTGAGTTTTGTTTTATAAAGCAGTTAATATCCACAACAGATAATAAACTGTCTCTCAAAACTTGCTATTCCCTTATAATTTCTACCTATATCCCTCATTTATCTATAATTTAACTACTTTGTAGATAACATTCAGAACAACTGGCCTGTGGGATCTTAATGATCTGAGAGTAAAAGGCACCTTTCTGACTATACTTTTACAACCTCTGAACAAATTACTTTCTCTTGGAAGACCGCTACACATTTTTCTAGTTTCTTTCTTGTCCTTAAAGAATGAACTTGTGATGAGAAGTTCAAGCTTTTATCTTTCATAAGCACAGTATTAAGTGCCTTACTTAAACTAATTTAAAAATGCAATTATATTAACTTTACAAAGCTGGCTGTTTAATCACCATCACCTATAGGCTACTACTAAAGCAGACTTTTGATACAAACCAAGCATTAAAGCCACTCTTAAAACCGAAATCCACAAATAAGTATCTACTCATTGTGAAGTTCAGCAATAAATTTTGCTCCAAGTAGCTGTTCAAAAAATCCAAGACAGGAGCTAAAAACCCTTGAAAAGCATTAAGAAGGTTAGATGCACTATTTCAAACTGTCTTCACTCACTGCTGCCAATAAAGTACCATTGAAAATTCTAATTACTGTGATAACTGAGTACTAACTGCAAAAGGAATTATTCTTTTCATTTCCTCACTTTTTACCTTATATTTGTTATCAGGACATGTATGAACAAATTTACCTGTCAAGATGTTTCCTTGTGTGCCAGTACTTTAGTGGATGTCTCTATAGTGATTCAGTCCTGACAACACATTACAATTCACATGCATACTACAAGAAAGAGAAGGGGGAGGGGGGGGGAACTAATATCTCTGTTATTTTTGGAGCATGGCCAACTATCATGTTGAGCTAAGACTTTTACTTTGATGTGGTTAAGTTACACACGTGCACACACCCACCCCCAATTCAGGATTTGGGCAGGTGCATTTGTTTTCCACTACTTCCCTTTAAATCCAAGATGGGAAAGCAATACTTTTCAGAAACTAAGAAAAGCTAGTATTTCTCCTGCTGCCTTCCCCAATCTTATTCCCAAATTACTTTAAGAATTATTAAACAAAGAATATTTAGAGAAAAGCTTAACCTTACTTATAACCTCAAAATACTGCTGTCCTTAGCTCATGAGTAAATCTACACTAAATCTTAGTAGTTTTCATTTCCTCTGTGAAACTTACTACTCTTAGCTTGCATGTTTTACCCAAACCCTGCATCCCTCCAAACTAAAGTCCATGTTTCCAGCTAGCTGACCAGAAGCCCAAGAAGAATTTCATTAGTAAACAGTTGTTAAAAAAAAAAAAAAAAAAAAAATCAGTCTTTTTACATTGGTACCTATATTTTCATACTACATGTTCTGTCAGCAACTCTTAATTACTGAAACTTCAGTTTACTCCCTCTACAAAACTAAATGACATTTTACAGACTTTGAAAAAAATGTAGGATATTGACATATAAACACAAATTATTCAGAAATTTTGGGTTGTTATGCAACATACACAGACAAGTAATTACTCTCCATCAGACTGTTCAGACTCATATCTGAGCTCCTCACCAAATAGCTTCAAGTGGAATGTAAGAGTTCAGAAGCAGAGTACTTTTAAAAGCAGTCCAAAACTTCATCATCACCATTCTGATCAGCAACTCACCCATGATGAATATACATAGTCTACCACAAACCTTCTTGAAACCTTTTTTAAACATAAACATGTTACAGTCTGAATTCTTCACATTAGAATCTTCATAAATAGTTAAGACTGTTTGCTGTGCTCCTCTGACATATTTATGGAAGATGTTTGTGAAGTTTCACAAACAAGAGGGAAAAAGATATGTAAACAAACAAAACCAATTTTAAGATAAATCTTCAGTCCCTCCACAACCATCAAACGAAAACAAAAACTGATGTAATGAGTAAAATGAAGGTAGTTGTAAAAGCAGGACATCACATGCCTCCGATAGGTAAAGGCAGGCCATTCTACTCTCACCTTTATCACGGTCATAGAGTAAATCTTCTGTTGAGCAAGGACTCCCATCCTGAGATTCAGGAGGGCAAAAGGGAGAGACACATGGTGAATGACTGCTGCAGCTGCTGCTGCGCTCCTGGACAGACGGAGTCTGAGTGTCAATGCTTCGTGTACTACTACTACGATAGTGAGCAGGTAATGGGGCCCTTCGACCATCAGGGATATCCAAAGGCTGCAAGACAAACAAGCAATTCAGGTTACAGAGAAAAGATCAAACTCCTAAGCAATGTCAGCCTGTAGCACTAATAACTGCAGTAATGAGGCAAGGCCTTAAGAACAGCAAACAAGCCATTTGTGAAAGAACAACAGTTACACAAGAAAATAATGCAATGTACAATGGACACAACATACATCAATTATGCTGAATGCTGGCACAATGTGCAGATGTTCCAAGCCAACTATATCCTCTTAATGCAAAGTTAACACCAGAACGCACTTCAACACATGATAGTATTATGTTTTTATATTTTTATGATAGTTTAAAAAAGCAAACCTCCACAACAAATAGATCTCTAATTATACTTCGTAATACAATTTTCAATAAAGGTCACTGTTATTATGAAAGAAAAACAAGTACTCTGACGGAGACCACATTTGGATAAAAGGGAAGGTAGAAAATGTCAAATACAATAGCATACTATTGCCATAACAACCAAACGAGTTACAATTACAAATGAAACCATCCAAGTTTTACTAGCAAGTCGTAATTCTCTAGCACACCTCTACATTCCTTCACTTCTATAGATGACCTCTGACAAAATGGCAACTAAGCAGATGATGCACAGGCGTACACAAGGTTCACAAGCTTTGTCTTGAACCAAAGCTAGTAAGCACTGCTTGCTCACATCAGCCTAGCTGGCACTGGCCAGAGTGATCTCGCATCCCATTCTGCAATATACTGCATAGACTTGTTCACAGTAGTAGATTGGCATGCTCTACTTACTTGTCCTTCCCAGTGGAAAATTAGTTTTATCATAAAGACAGCGCTGCTTTAAATGTAAGAAATCAAATGAGAATTACAGTTTTGCTTAAAAGTGTGGGGGGGGAATGCCTGCAAGATTTAAATATAATTTTTATCCTCACTTCAGTGAGGATTGTATTCAAGCCATAGAGAACAGCTTAAATGTTTTAGCTACAAAAAATTAGTGTCTTTTTCCTTCTCACTTCAAGTGAAGATTTTTATTTTATCGCTTTCCTCTTCCCCATATATTCCAAAACTGTAACAGCTTGTTCCAGAGGCTAAAATTCAACCCAATACTTTTGCTAGCAATGAGGAAATGCGACCTATTGGCCGAGTATCACATTCTCCCATTTTCAGCAATAGTCTATCCAGAAAACTACCACATACTATACAGAGGCAGACATAGCAGAGCAGGAAGATCCTTTTCTTCTTACGAGCCTTCCAGTTAATAGCATTTCACATTTCAATTAAGAGCAAAGAAACACACTATGAAGAGAGCATTACAGTTGCTACATCAAATGCTGAAGTTTGGACACACCTGCGTGGTCTGCTCCAACAGCTCAGTTCACACTGCGTATACGTTACAACATGACTACATGTTGCTATTCCCATCACCCCCAACAGGCCGTGACCCATTCAATGTACAAGATAGACCTGAAGCATTGTATCATTTGTTACGCAGACAGAAGAGAGGTGGAAAACAAGACTGAAGCTGTAGAAAGAAAACAGTCTTATAATTAACGCAACCAAAAAAATAACTGCTGTGCAGAACAGCATTTTTATTTCCATCTCTGCCACAAAAATTGTATGAGATGCCGGGAAGTCATCTGAACCAACCTCTCTCTTTTATGGTATCTTTTCTAGATGCCCAGTCTATATAGGACTGATTTGCAAAAGTCTTCAACATTCACAGATGCAGGAGGTGACTATGGAAGCTAGACTTTAAACTCCTAAAATGGCACGCAGTACCCTGAGTTACCTGAAGAATCACATTATAGAAGCTTGATGGATTTGTTTTTCTCCATCCATAAAGTGTAGATAATATTATCTTTCTTCTCACAAAGATGTGATAAAAAGAGAACAAAATTTCAGACACTCTCCTATTATATAGAAGCAAAAACCCAGGAAGAAATTCAGACTTCTGACTTCAAAGCAAGGTTTAATAGTGAGCATTAGGACACATACCTAACGAGGCGAAAACAAAAAACACCGAACGGCTGCTCATTAAGGGCATGTACTATGCTCTACGTAACAGGTAAAGCAAGGATTCCAGGCAAGGGAAAGAAACAGTAAGCTATCATATAATTAAAGACTTCAGGATAACACAGATATTCTTCCACACCTGGAGGAACAATGTAGTCTTATGTAGTCAGGAAGTGTATCCCAAATCACATGTTTCAACCTCCACTGAATTAAAATTTGTGGTACAAAAAGTTATCTATATTTTTAGACATGCCTCTAAATATACACACAAGTAGAAAAAGCTAAATATTTATCAGTCTTTCCAACTAAAATAACTTTTAAGGCACAGAAAATGCCAGCAAATATTTCAGATTACTGTGCTTCTGTATTTATCTTTCCCTTAATAATGAATCCAAGTTTTGACAAGTGCAAAAAACTTCATGAAAATATCAACCAGAAGTATTCCGTTTTTTTAAAAACTTTATGTATTAAACCTGATCAACATAAAAAATACTTTAGAAGTTCCTTTCCATGAGTCATGTCTAAACTATTCTAAAAACTGAAGTCCTCACAAACTTCAAACATAAGAAACAGGGTAACTAATTTGGTACAGCTGCTATTAGTTTTCATAACACTCAATGCATGGAAAACAACTAGAAATTACTGCATTCTATAGACTGGGTTTTGTTGGGTTTTTGGTTTTGGTTTTTTTTGGTGCTTTTTGTTTTGTTTTGTTTTGTTTTCTTTTTTGCAAGAGTGTCCAGCCATGTACTTATGCCAAATGAATTTTGACAGGACACCTGCCAACCCCTATGGGACAGTGTGTTCTTGGACATATTACATACTACCCTCATCTCCCTCCAAAGGTATGGAAATGCTCAATTTGACAACAACAGGCATTTCTCAATACACTGTTAAAATTTACCACATTGTTTTCAGTATTGATCTTTTCGCTGGAAAAAAAACCCCAAGAACACCCTATTTAGTAGCTTCAGGAATGCTACTATGATATAATATACCAATGGGAGCCTTAAAAATAATCTGTTCTTCACAAGCCTTACATCTATTTGGAAGGCAACTTCTTGAGAGCAAAGCATTCAATGCTTTTGATTTAAAAACTGTTCTCTAGACTGGAACACAAAGACAGACATAGGAAAGTGCTTCTTCCTTCTAGCATCAACGAAGTCATCAATGCATTAGATAAGGTGCAAGTACAAAAAAACATAATGTATCCTGGGAAGGAACACTTGGAAAAAAAACACTGTTTAGATTAAGGATATGAAGATTTAAGTAAGGATCCTCTGCAACTGTGCAAATTAGAAGTCCTTTTATTATAGGATTAAGTTTTCCGATAGGTACATAAAACCATCTTGCTATCTATTTCTAGAAGCATTAGAAATCAAACAAGAAACACATGAATCATTTCACAGATATTGTGTGATAGTCCGTCAAAATTGCTTCATTTCTAATTACTTCTGTATACTTGAAAGATAGTTCCGGTAATATTTTTTTTCCTCACAGGAGACCTGTGAACGTGTCCGCGTCCTGCTACAGGGCACTTTTCATTATTTTTGCAATGTATTCTGTAAGAGGGAACACCTCTTGCTCCCCACTCCCTACAGTAAGTCCATCATCTTATTGTACCAAAGTCTCCAACATTGTGTTGTGGAGTCACAATGGGACAAAGAACAACAGCCTGTCACAACGTCACAGAAAGCTGATTCCCTCTTAGAAGTTACGGTGGGAACAGAGACACACCATCACAGTTTCCTGGAAAGCTAGTCAACATGTTATAAAACAGGAAGGAAAATATATTCAGGATCTTTGAATAAATGCATTAGAAAATGAATTAAAGTTTATTAATAAATCTGAGGAGAAAGAGGCAATTAAGAAGTGACTCAAAAAAGCCAACTTTAACTTATTTTTAGGAAAGAAAAAAGAGAACACCTTCAGCTAACTAAGCAAGATGAATGATCTGAAAAAATACACATATACATGGCTAAAGTGAAAGGAATGAAACATTTGGGATGTTTTAACCACTTACAATGCAATCCCTCTGAACTTTATGGCCAACTAGATTATTAAAAGGTAATGACATAATGACATTACCGTATCATCAACTACCTTTGTGAAACACAAAAATAACAAGACTAATGTCTACAATAATTATTTTTACTTGTATAAGTAATTGTATTTTTACAAGTACGATTTCTATTATCATTAAAATATTATTAAAAAAGGCAAAGAGCAGCATTTCAAAGAACTAACAGAACTAAGTCAGCACAAGAGAAGACGGAAGACATATTCCAAATCCATTTATACATTTTTTAAGAAGTAGGATTACAAAAATTCAAGTCAGCAAAAGCAAAAACAAAGTATGTAACATCATACCCTATAAAACCAAAAAACAAGTCTAAAAAATAAATTAAATTTATTTGTGTATCTGAAGACTAAGCAAGGAAGTATGAAACTGGGAGGAAAGTTTCACTAGTTACCCATTTTAACTGGGAGCTAAATTAAAAAAGTAATTCAAGTAATATCCATAAAACTATGCATAAAACTGCTTTAACCTTAAGCTTATTTTTGTCCTATATATCACCTAGTCTCATTTAAACATATGAACTAAGAAACAGTTTGTTTAAAAAAACAAAATCACAAGTTTATATTGAAGAGATGAGAGACTAACAGAGAAAAAAAATCAAGAACACTAGACTAAAATTTTAAAAGTTAACAGAACTAAAATGCATTTTATTAGGACAGCCCAAATGTGGTTATTGAAATGAAATGGAAGAAATCAGAAAGCTACTAATGTAGCACCTAAATTTGAAAAAAAAAAAAAAATTAAAAATTAGGTAGTGAGCTGCACCTAAAATAAAGGTAATATTCCTTCCCAGTGTTTTTAGCAGGGTTTATATTATTCTCCAAGTCTTTCGTGGCAAATGAATACAGATTCACAATAGGGCACAAAATGTTTTATGCAGCTGGATAGATCGATTCATATGAAAATTAAGGTTTGAACATGCACTGCTAAAACTGTGAAGTAAACATGGAAACAGGTTAAAAGAAACCAGCTGACAATCTAGATGCACACCAATTTACAAGCAGGTCTATAGAATAACTTATCTTTCACACATCACCCAAAGCAACCAGCTACCTTTGATTGCTATTTTAAAATACTTTCTAAAAATACAGAATGTTATAGCAAGACGGAATGACAGAAAATTGAAAGGAAAACAAATTGTTTCACTAGCAGTGAAACTAATTAAGTTTGGTTTCCTATGGTTTATCTTTTGTTCGGTAATTCCTGACCTTTAACCTAGCTGCCCCAACTCCCCCAGGCTAAAAATAAGCTAAACTGTCATATTAGGAGAAAGTTCACCAGCAGTAAGATTGAGTAAATTACCCTTGTTATGATCTTCCATAAGTAAGCTATGACACCTAGTAAGCTCAAAGACAGTGCTAAGAGTCCCACTTTAGGTCCCACTAGGCCAGACTTCACAGAAATTAACAGTTACATAGCAGGAAGCAACCCTCTGCCCACAAAGATGGACTTGACTTCAAGGGCAATGTCTAATTTATGACTTTCTTTTGTGTCTGAAGACTCTCCCCAGCTAGATGTTTGGAGGAAGGGTTCACTATTGCCTTGGTTGCGTAAACTGCTGAGCACCTCTGGCCCCAATCCAACAATGCACTTAAGTTATGTGCTTAACTGTTTTGCTGGATCAGAGCCAGTACATTCAGTAACTTAGGAGACCGAGTTCTGCATCCCAAGTAATAAGCTGTTAAAGCCCAAGGACAACATTTACAAAGATGATTTGTCTGATAAATAAATGGAATGTCCTCTAACCATAGGAGATTACAACCCTAGCCATAGCAACATCAATGGTGGCACTGTAATACATAGCTTTCTACACTCTCTTTGGAGATGGTGTAACAAGGTTTATTGATTTGGGCTTTCGGTTTCGGTTTGTGTGTTTGGTTTTTTCCTTATTCCCCTGTTACAACACACACCCCTTCTAAAGGGATGAGACAGCCTTAAGAAAGCTAACTTTACATAAGAATGAAATGCGGTAGTAGTAGAAGTTTTAAGACTGCTTTGTGCACACAACGAAGTCTCTGGAGAAGCCAAGACTATTCCAAAACTTTTTAAGTTTACTGCCGAAATGAAGAACTACAAATATCAGGTCTTGGAATCTTAAACCTCTGATTAAAGTTTTATACCTTGACTTGTACACATGACCATTCACAAGAAAAGAACCTACATCTTAGGAAAAAAAACAGTAGTTTATTCCACAGCAGAAAATTTTCATTGGCTATTCAGGAAACACTGGCTGTAAACCAAGTGTTTCACATTTTAAGCATCATCTAAACACTCCAGTGCTCCGCAATGACAATGTCAATGCTCCAGTTCTCCCACATCAGCACAGCTGCCCTGTTTGTCAGTATTTCCTATACAGAGGTATCCATCCCATGACAGATCACTGTGGTTTCATGGAAGCAAAATGGTGCACGTTCAGTTTATGGCAGAAAAGCATTAAAACCAAAAAGCAGGGCATAGCACAGGAAATTTAAGTCTTGCCTAAGAAAAAGAATGCAAAATGAATAAAATTAATCTATCTCCTGGTCTCTAATTACTTACTACTGCAGCCTGAAGTATCTAAATTTTCAAGTACTTTCATTTCCCGCAAAAACTTTCAAGTTCTCTACAGAAAGGGCATTATAAACTAAGTATGTTTGGCCAGAAGCCTTTTAAAAAAAAAAAAAAATAAAACAAAACCCAAACACCACCCTAAACCACTGAAACAAAATTTTCAAGCAAACAGTTCTTTGAAGAAAATTATTTGTAATTTCAGCCACAAGGAAGGTTTCTCACGAGGAAGGTTTCCCACGTGTTTATAGATTACGAAGAAAAAACAACCATAACCACATTAACATAAGCTTACCTTGGATACTTCTTCTTTTCCACTGTTTTCCTTAATGAATACTTTTTCCAGTTCGGGGCTTATTCCTTCTACATTACACGGCACACGTGAAACAGTTGATTTTGGCACTGAAATGTTTGACAGTGGCATAGGGACTGATCTGGAAATAGAAGCCTAGAAGGTAGAGAGCAACATGATTTGAAGTTGGAAAATGGAACAAAGACAGAAGTCTGAGACCAGTACTAAAAATACTAAAAAGTAAGAAGCTGCGTATTAATTTTGCCATCTAGAAGACTATCTTTACTTGGCAAATTTAAATAAAAAGAAATGCTTGCATAAATCACAAGCCACTAAAATCAGCTCTACTTAACTCAAAGAAGCGTTCTATAATAAAAGCATTTTACTACTTCACTTATCAGTAAGGAGGCAAGTATATGTACTTTCCAGATGTATAGACTACAGAATACACAGTAGGGGGATGGGGAGCACGCAGGTTGCTGATGGTGATGGTTTAACTGGGATCCAAAAGACATTTCCTAACATTCCTAAAGCTTAACCACTCAACTGAAATATTCACTTAGTACACTTTTATCCTCTTTTGGTTGGCTTTAGTGAATGAAAAATAAAGCATTCATTCTGAACCTTTAATTTCATTAGCTTATGGTTTTTCAGAACTTTATGTCAAAGGTCTTAAATTATTTCAAGTTTAAGAATCAAGCATGTAAATAAATACAAGTACGGTTTTCAGAAAAACCTGTTGGAGTGTAGCTCTGTTACCAACATGAACCATTCACAAGAGCACACATGCATCTTGCACAGTCAACCTCAAAAGCTTTACCTTGGCTGCAGCTACATAGCATAGATGCACCTACTGACAGCCATGAATAGTGTTCACTTCCCAATATATGTTCTCCTCTTGTTCACAGAATCACAGGATGCTTAAGACAAAATGTAAAAAAATTTTTTTGAGTTCTTGCCAAATGAAGCTTGCACAATGTGCAGCTCCAAAGGTGCTTGGTCACTTGTGTGGAGGCATTCTCTGACTCTGAGAAAACACACTGCCTGCAGGACAGCTTCCCACAATGGTGCCAGAACTGAAAACTTCATTGGCCTCATCAGAGAACACCTACTTGAGAAATCAAAATGTTGCACAAGCCACGACAAAGTGAGCCAAGTACTAAAAAATGTTCCTTCAAAGCCTATGTCCTAGGTGGATTTCAGTCTGTGTCAAAGACTGTTTTTACTATGATTATAAATAGTGGCACAGGTACCTGCAACAGCTTACTTTGAGATGGAAAGCAAAAACCTTTTCTAAGCAAAATGTAGTGGGATCCTTTGTTATAGAGGCATAAAAGTTTCAGGAAGAATATCAACTTCCTATATGCCTTCATCACAAGATTAGGTTTTAACCACAAGACTTTAACCAAACAGAAGAAGGAACATAAAGGATCAGCCATCACAGCTCAACCTCTTCTTTCTAAAACACTAGCTATTTAAAAAGGCAGTCAGGAAATACAATGACAGAACCAACATTTCAGGAGTTCAAATAGTGGCCTGTGAGTAACATGGGGTCCAAGTTAAGGATTCACTGCAGGTGAAATTTAATCAGGACTCAAATGTCTGAACTGTCAAATGAGACATGATTAACTGCTTTCTAGAAATGGCTTAAGGTTCACGAAGTCATTGACTGAACCTTGCCTGAGCTTTAGAACTTGTAATTGGGTTTCAGTTTTGCTGGCAGTTTGTAATGGCTAGAGCAGACACTGCATGGGGCATCCTCCATTGCACCCTGCTGAGAATCTGGTTCATGGTCAGGTAACTTGGCCAGGTAATGTGTCCAAAGCTATTCATAAAGATGCTGACACATATGATAATAGGAGAAATATAGCTATACCCAGAGCACAGGCAAATTTTTATAACTTTGTGAAACATGAAAATGACCTGAAAACAGAAACTGTCTTAGCCAGGCTAGTGTTAAAATGATCAGCTATATTAGAATTTAAAATTTATATTAAAATTAAAAAATTTAAGATTTATATTAAAATTAAACCCACACTTTGAAAAATAGGTAAGTAATAAGACAACAGAAAACAGAGGCTGTCAGACTAGGAGCCTGAGCTTAACCTCTCAGAGAGGAGGATATCAAATCCATAGACGGATGGCTGGAGAGAAGTCCACAGAACATGAGAATGGTCATCAACATAATCGGGACATAATATTTTGCATCCTAAAGATTACGGCTGATTGAGGTTTTACAGTAAGCCACAGTGTCTGGAACAAGAACAGGCTAGTGATGATAGCAATTTTTCCATTTAATATGATGGAAACTCTCAAAATATACTGGAACAACTGTACTGTAACATAGTCACTGCAACCACAAACTCTCATGCTGGAAGACAGGATCTTGTATTGACAATGATTCTGGACTACTGTTAACAACCAAGAGGTATGTCCTAGACAAAACCATGAAGAAAAAGACTTTTATCCTGCAGTGTGACAGATCCTCTAGTCACCAGTCACGGGGTATGGTGGCAAGCATCATCTTGATTTCAGTTGAGTTTAAATTCAAGGTGAATTATTACTTTCTTTTTAGAAAGTACACACCACAGTGTTGTTTTCCTTGATGACATGTGGAAATTGCCTCTCTGGCCAGGAATTGACCAATAAGCAAAGTATCAGAAAGATCCTTAAAATGGGACAAGGAAATGAAATTTTCCCTCAAATCTCTGGTGATACAGCCTTGCCGTCTTTTGCTGATGAATACATGGTAAGGTGAATTACAAGTCTGTTCGTAACAAGCCAGTTAGAGTTCTGCTTGCTGCTCAAAGACTGATCAATTGTTGGGCTGCCAATCCAGACTGCTTACCCTTAGTACTTTCTTTTTCTTACTTTTCTATTTTTTTTAACCAGCTCAGATGAAATCGTGTTGCAAAACTGATAAGCAAATACATTCCAGAGGAGCAGAGGCTTGTGACAGCGTACCACAAAAATTAGTCTTGGAAGCAAGTATGTATTCCTGGAAACACAGTCTTATCATGCTCAGAATTTTTACAGCACCTTAATAAATTTTAGTTGCTATCCTGCTGCAACCCTTCTTTCTTTTATTGTATGACAACTATCAGATAATTTCAGTGATGATGCAATGGTATCAGATTGTTAAGCATTTCAGTGTACCACATAAGAAAACAAACAGAAGAAAGACGGAAAGAAACAGCAGGCTATTCACCCAACCCTGGTAAGGTAGGAGGCTGTTAATATAAGCAACTATCTACTTACCTGAGTCTGACTGATTGCTATATGGTTGCCATGGAGAGGTGACTGACGTTCTTTCTCTTTACTGTGACGACTACTCTGCTTACTGCGCTGAAGCTGCTGCCTCAGTTTGGCAATCTGCTGGAAAGAAGTTCAGGTGACGTGATAATGAGTTATCGAACAGATAACTGCTCAAATCTTCACGTATAAAGTGAATCACAAACATTTAAAGTCCTCTTTGGAGAATTTTACAAGCATGTAGGATTGCCTTCCCTTGAAGCATGAGAATTAAAGCTTCTTTCTGCTTATTAGATACTTTTTCCAAAGTATCTGCCCAATTCGCCAATACGAATATGACAGCAGGCTTAGTTTAATTACTAAACTTCCTCATTTACAAACAAGCACTGTAATAACTGATGCAAACAAAAGTAGTCAGAATGACAATTCGTAGCAATTTCTGGCCTATAAATGGTTTAAACTGGGGACTATGAAGCCTACAGTTTAATTTATTTGATCTTAAACCGAACCAAAGTTTTCCAATGATAATTCATCATAAAACCAAAGAGCCTTCACAAACAACTGGCAATCAATATGCATTGCTCATCTTGGAGAACTTATTTAATACATTTAATAGCATTTCCCTGCAGGCTAAATTACCACAGATTCCTTCAGGCAGACAGAATTATCTTTTCTGCTGTCTGCTGCAAAGATGTCTAATCAAAAATTACATATTTTAAAGGTCAAATGCAACTAAAGCCATTATCCATTTGACCTGCTCCGTAACAAGAAACTAAAGAATTTCATTTGGGGATTCCTCCACTTATTTATTCCTCCTGGATAATTTCTACATGAAAGAAAGTATTTATATCTATAAGCATTGTCTCAGAAGTTTAGACTATGTGCAAATTCACACAACAGGTACAGACACTTCCTTATGACTGGATAATTTTTTCCTTTAGGCTCAAGTCCCACTCTTCCTCATGCTCAGCACACTGGCATACAAGGCAAAGCATGCCTGGCACCATTTAATTTTTAACTCAGCTAGAGATACAATTTTTAAAAACCTGAAGGGAAAGTAAGGAGAAGTGAATGCACATGGAATTCATATTTCAAAGAACATAATCTAGAAAGTAACCTCTCTTTCTGCGTGACAGCTTACAAGTACACGCACTCTGCGGTTAACGCCAAGTAGTTAAATATATCACTAGTGCTCTCGCAAAGCAACTCTGTGGTAGAGAATCACTTCACATCACTCTTCACAGCGTCAAGAGATGATAGCACTTGGTGAAGAGGTTTGGATGGAGCTTTGCTCCAGGCTGTGGACTTTTCTTTGTGACGTTTCTGGTATCACTCACAAAAGAAGGATCCACCTTCAAGGCTTCGTATCAAGTCTTGCCACTGCTTGTTACCCATATTCAGAGAAATGCTACTCGGAAACGGCTGAATACTTTGATCTTTCAACAACAGACAAACAGTTCAGACTTCCAAAAGGGTCTGTGTGCAGAATACATCAAGAAAGACAGAGCCGTAATACGACTGAGTTTCTAACACAGACAGGCTAGATTTAGAGAACTGGGAGACTAATCTCTTGATGAAAGGTGCAACTCAGGCACCATGTTAGAAGAAACTTTGAAGGAGTCTGAAGAGATACTTCATCTCTACAAAAAAAATTTATCCAGGACTTCCCCATTCTCCCTGTAGGAGTAATGGCAATTAGGAAGCCTAGCTCCATAGAGAGATGAAAAAGCAAGCAGGTAGCCAGTCTGGTAAGTATACATAGATCTATAAAGATTCATGTCTTACATCAGAATGTTGGAGAATGGGGGAGAACAGGGAAATAATCTTCATCCTCCCCTTTAAAAACTTAAAAACAGAAGAGAAAAATGATGCCCAGATCAGAAGACAGCTGTGGACTGAGATGCCTGGCTACAAGAATAATCAGAAAGCAGGGAGAGTGCTGTATATAAATCTTCCATTTCTGCTGCCTCTCCTTGATGCTGTGTGCTTCCTCCTAGTTAAAAAGTTAAATACCCTATTTTTTTTTATTTAAATGAAATCTGGCTTTGTGAGCTTTCCTCAGGAGCATGCTATAAAAAAAGATCTATACAATTCCACCTCAGAGATCTGGCTGACTGATTTCTGTTGCAAACAGCCTGCAAATCTTTGAGAACATAGCCTCTCACTGTAAAATCTGGACAGTGGAAGCATTAGATGGAAGAGCACTGATAGGCTGGTATGTCTTTAGGCTGACCAAAACCTTGAAGCTCTGATATCCTGAAAGGAATCATCAACCCCTAGAATCTGAGGTTCTCTCAGGCACCTCAAGAGTATGTATATTTTGACGGTCAGTAGGTTCCTGACAGTAAAAGGCTTCTTGGGTCACTGGGGAGAAAGAGAAAGATGAAAACTTGTTGAGAATCTGACTGTGTATGCAGAGCTGATATGACCACTTAAGAAAACATGCAATGCAGTGAAGAAATAGATATGCCTTCTCAGATTACCTGTCCTTAGCCCTGAATTTGAAAGATCCTAGCTTTCCATGATATGGTAGTTACCATCAGACGAAAAAATGAGAAAGGAAGGATGGACATATAAAAAGGAATCTGCCATTTCTTATTCATCCACCAGACATGAAAGACAGAGGCTTGCCAGCACAGACAACCCAGCTTCAAAGCAGCCATGCTAAGCAGGCAGTGGCACTGAATACACAGACAGAAGAATCCTCCAAACCAAATGATGCTCCATCTTTTCACCACGAGGAGTCCACAGTGAATCTACCACTTGCTAAAGCTAATCCTAAAATCCCAATAGTTTTTTTCTTCTACAAGATTATCTTTTCATTGCCAATTATTTTCCATCTGAAACTCAAATAAAGCCACTACTACTAACAGGAAGATGTAGCTGTGCTAGCTTCCTAGAAGTTTATCTTCATCTTCTTCCTAAGCAGCAGAGAAGCACAATCAGAGCATCAAACATAACCAAAGTGGGCTGCAGATAGGTATGAGGTACACTAACCCTAGGAAAGCAGATATAATTTGTGTAGTGAGGCAGGAGTCTGGAACTCATGGCACCCGTATCTCAAAGCAGCAGCAGATCCTGTCTCTTGGGCACTTGACTGATGCAACTAGTATGAGCTAGGGAATTTGCTGTGCAAAGAAACTAGTGCCAAGTGACTGGTATCAGAAAAACATGTACTTGAAAATCCAGCCATTACACTGGTGTAAATACACTCTAACACTGAACTCCATTCAGGGCAGCAAAACAGACATTTCAGTTAGGAAGATGAGGCAAAAAAGGAATAACGTGCTATGCTTGGGAAAAAGAAGTGCAGTAACAAAACACTCCATTTTAACAGGGCAGCTAAGAACAACAGAAACAGTTTGGGACACCATTTCCCTCACATGCCCAAGAACGGAGCACGAAGGTGACTGGGGCATACACAATCATATTAAGGAACACATGTAAATCATCACAAAAAGATCTAATGTGCATCCTTTAAAGCATACAGTTGCTGAAGACATTAAAGCCTTAGCCTTGCACATATGTGCACTTAGATACATAAAATGTGACAGTGATTTCAGTATACCAATTCAAATGCTCTCCCTGTCTACCTAGCTTGAAGATGGGCAGAAAGTTCTCATTATACAACACAGGCATTTTCTTAGAGGACACAGCTGAAAAAAAATCAAGGAATTCCTCAAGGAAGACACGCAATTTGAACGCCAGTTCCAATGTTCAGATACAATTATTTTAAATTATTTTGCTACTTTACAAGTTGTAAACATATACGGTAGCAAATTTCGAATTATATTTTTTAGTTCACATTTGGCAAGTACTCTCATGTGACTGTATGGGGGAGGAGCACAAAGCACACATCTATGCACATCTCAAAAAAATTAAGAAAGTTTTCAGCCTTCCCTCTTCCCGTGACTATTCCCTGCAATATTCCCAATGTGTCAGAAAGACTCTTTTCTTGATGTACTTTACAGTTATTTATAAAAAAAAAAAAATCCAAGAAAACACAAAGATCGGTGCACCATAAACCTACAGTAACAAACCTACATCAGGTCATTCAGGACACAAACTTGCAGTTGGGCCTTGATGGTTTACTGTCATACAGCCAACTATAAGATGACCATCAAAGATTATTAAACAAACAAGAAGTTAGGAAAAAACCCTGTGTTTTTTGCTTGCTGAATATTTTTACAGGTAGAAGTGTACTTGAAATAAATGTGAATTTTCTCTGTACCACTTGTAATATGCATGCAGACTAATATAACTAATGGCACAAACCTGAGAAATAAGCAAATTAGGTCGGTTCTTTACAACACTGGAATAATCTGAGTATCCTGATAACTTTTCATTTGAAGAGACCTAGATGCAGACTACTAATATGAAGGAACATGTCACATCTCACCATTCCTGTCCAAATGCTCATTAATATTTACCAGCTAATAGGCTGTATTTCTACAAATCAGGCTACACAACATAGTAACTTCCTATTGCTGAACAAGCCACAAACTCCTTTTAATGAGAGCAAGCTCTAACTCATTCATGAACCATTTGTTAATAAACAAGTTAACCAGTAGGTCAAAGAGTAAAACAAGCATTAGAAATTCACCCTAAACCTTTGAATACAATCTTCCGATTGGTATATGAAAGCACATAAAAAGTAAAAGCTCTCATATTCGATTCTCTTTTATTCCAAAGTCCTTTTCAAGTACTCTGTTAGAGCAAAAGGAACCTTCCAAGGCAGGGTTGCTGGTGTCAGTGTAACAGATAGAGCGGTGCTTAAGGGAAGTGAAAAATCAGCTGTCTGAAATATATCTTTAAAAAAACTACACAGACTGAAAACTATTTGTTTTAAATCCCGCTTTTTTTTTTTTCCCAGTTTTGGGTAAATTCCAGTTCAGGGTAAGCTATAACTATAATTGTCCCTATTCAGCTGCAACAGAATTTCAGACTAACTATTCAGGTTGAAAGGGGAAAAAATACCAGTGGTTCACACCACTACTTGGTTTGTGCCAGTACAAAGACACTGATAGCAATCTTTATCTCCCAGTCAAGATGTTCTACTAAAAGAATGTTAAAGCAGTCTGGCATTATCTTACAAGTTATATTCAAGACTTCATAAAAACAAGCAGTAGATCCCTTCAGAATAAAAAAAAAGTTAATCTTGTTAGGAAGTGATAAAAAGGTACACTCTATCATTACAAAGTTCATATTGAGAGCTGGGGAGTTGTAAAGTTTTTAATTGACCCACTACACGAAAGCAAGCATTGCCTATCTCACTGCTAGGCAGATTCAATCCTATTTCAATTCAAGGACAAAATAATTTTCAGCTACCCAAAGTGAAAATTTTTTTATGTGGTAATTCATTTGCTTGCTTGGGATCTTAAGTCTACAAACTAATTTTTAGGGTTTTTTTTAATGTAAATCTTTTTAAAAGAGCTCCCAGTTGTGTTACATAAATGCATTTACTTGTAATAGCTCTCAAACTAACCAAGGAAAAAACAATTTTTTTTAAACTTAAAAGCACATTCAATCTTCTTTTATCAAAACCAATTAAAACTATGCATACAAGTATTTGGCTAGTTTACAGTATCAACATAATAAAAAATACATGCCAGAAATCATTCCATTAATTGTTGGAACAAGAAAACATGAATCCAAACTGCTAATACAAGCCAAGGAAACTGTAAACAGCTTTCCACTTGTTTACTGTCAAATGCTATGGGAAACAATTCAAAACACTGAGCAGAACTACTGTTACCTATGTTATTCATAACAAATGCAGTTGCCCAGGAAAGGTGACACTTTTATTTCCATTACTTAAGCTCTTGCTTTCAGCTGTCTACAGCTTTGTCAACTTTTCTCTGAAGTCTACCATACAACATTCAGCTCTCCTATCCCCTTCCCATCAGAGATTTCAGTACAAGTATTAGAGCTGTTTTAAGAATGAGATTAAAATGAAAGGGGGGTGGAAATCATTGTACCATTTTATGTGCTAAAATACATTATCGTAGCTTTTTACCTGGGAAGCTCTGTTGTCCGATGCTTTGGAGGAAAAAGCCAAACATTTGCCTGGGGTCCTTTATGCTGGAAATGTGCCCCTCTATTCCCTTGGAAAAACTTTTATATTTGGTGATGCTTTAGCACAAATTTCAGTCTGAACGTGTTCAAGAAACATGTTTGGAACTGGCAGCTACATCTGCTAGTAATTCTGTCTCTACTGGGCTTTATAGTTTGAACAGAACTGCCCCAGAGAATTTCTCCTTCCAGAAACTGCCAACTACTGTGGCACAAAGAAACTGAATGCACAGATACTGCTGGTATTGAACAAACTCTGAACACCCACCACACAGGCATTAAGTAGCCGGACAGAGAAGCTGGAACCAGGACTTAAGGGTGAGGTACAGGAAAAAGAAAGGGATAAAATAGAAGCCAAATGATGGAGAGTCAGAACAGACAAGGCGCTGGAAGGGAAGTGAGCAAGAGCTCAAGTAAGGGAAGATAAACGAGAATTTGCCGGATAATGCATGCAGAATGACACTGGGACTATGAACCCAGGGAACTACAGAAGGCAAGAAAACTGGTTAGAGAAGCTGGAGAAAGGAAAACAGAGGAAGCAAAAGAACTATAAGCTGGAGAAGACAAGGGCAGGTTTTGGGGTGAACAACCATTGCAAAACTTGGATAGAAACAATTCCTTTCCACACACCCCATTTTTTCCATTAGTGTGTTCTATCAGAAAGGAACCATGAAACCCATCGGTCACATGTTTCTTATCTTTCTCTTGTGGTCACTCCATAAAGAGGATGGCAACCTAGCACAATGGATCACTGTTATCAAATGGCAGAGACTTGCTTACATGCTGAAGGTTTCACTATCACTGACACTCACAGCCCTGTGGTGAAGAAAAGCTGCTTGTTGCAGAACTTGATAGGGAACCGCCAGAAAATGAATGATGGTCTCTCAGTAAAAGTAAGCAAGCACTATCCTGGAAATACAAATGCTATTCCTGCCCCTGCTACAATTCCTTTGTGCTGGTAGGTAAGGTTTAAGCCAAAACTTTTCAGACACAAAACTCCTTCTGTACTAATTTCTGGGTGCTTAATCTGTGATTCTGAGTGCTTCCTCATAGCTGCAGATGAAGTCACCCAGGCAAAGGAAGGCCCATGTACCAATAAATCAGCTATGATGGGTTTTGTAACAGGTACTCAATGAGATGGGAATAGACAACCCTCTTTGGATTGACCTCTCTTTGGCCCAAGTCCTCATCTTTAAAAATGAGGCTATTGCCACCACTGGAATGCAAGATTATTCCATATTTGTCAAATCTGATTTTAAAATTCAAGTAATTAAACTTACATCACTCCTTTTGACAATTGTTATTCCTACCAATGGCTGTCTGGAAGAGAACTATATATTGCCAGTAATACCATCTCCTCAGACAACCTATACATTTCTTCTCATTTTTAAATGTCTTATTAAACAGGGAGCCAGGAGAGAAGATACAAAAAGCCCAGAGTACTAGGGAAAAGTTCCACAACATGAGAACATGCTGCAAGATTAATTTCTTAATAAGAAAGCTGTAGCTCTTGAAGAGAGGCTGCACCCTTCCTGACAGGGGCATGAGGCTGACTGCAGACCAGTTATTAGGTACTGGACAGAGCTAGAGTTACATGAACTCTGAACAGAATGGAGTTTACTAGCACAAAAACTGAAATATTGTCATTTCAGATGAGTTAGACATCATATTACTCTATCTACTTTCTCATGATGCAAATCTACTTGGCTTTTGGTCGATTCTTTCTAGTTGTAATTGTTGTCTACAGCAAAATACATATGATTAAAGAGCATTTCAAGTAATCATACCATTACTGTATCAACAACTTACCCTCCCCTTTTTCCCTCGTGAAAGTCACGTCCTCTCTATCTCCACCCTTAAAGTTGAAGGAAATTTCTAAGCAAGAATATGCTAACATACCGACTTACACTTTGCCTTTTTCAGAAGAGCAGCATCAAAGAACAGAAAACTAGCTCAGGTAACTCTGAACAGAAAAATTAGTAAGCAACAACAAGCTGGTTCCTCAGCACTCACTCCTGCCATTCCTTCACAGTCAACACTGTGTAGTAGGATGGGAGGAAATCCAACAGGCCTAAAACCAACAACCCCTCTTCAAACAACTCTTACGTTGGAGGTAAAACCTGTTTCAAAAGCAACAGAGGGGAGGGAAAGGGTGCAGTTTCCTGGACTCCAGATAGGGATTAAAAAATGTCTTGGGCATATCAAAACTTGAAAGGCTCCACTGTGCAAAACTTCTCACCTCTTTTAGTTGATCAGCACTTCCCCATGATGCTGAGCGCTGATGTGATCTCTTTTCTGCTCCTTCTTCAGCCCAACAGCTAGGTGTCTAGAAGGGAAAAAAAGAGAAAATATACCGTACTGAATTCTCCAGGTAAGAAAAACTTTTGGCACAAATTATTGCTTTACTCTTTCTGCAGTGTCAGAGTTCAGGCATTATACATGAAGAATAAATTTCAGAATCTGATATGCAGCAGTAATAGTCCCAATACATAAAAAAACAATATAGAAAACTAAAGCTTTGTAAACCTGCATTTGCAAAGGATGAGGACAATGCACATTACTGACAAAGGAATCGGAGGCCTGACAATCACAAAAAACACCTTACCTGGCTACTCCCATCTGTGCTTTGGCATCCATTTCTAGTTTTCATTCAGTGGACAGTTTAGAAAACCACAAGATTAAAAAAATATGCAAACAAACAAACTCATAGACCAAAAGCCAGGATTCAGTTCTCCCACCCGTGTTCCTTAATCACTGGGCTACATAATCAATTCCTTCCTGCAAACTCTGACTTGATACGAGTTTGATACACCTTTTATTATTTTTGGCTCTGACCTACATGAGCAGAACAGTGAAGAGCAGGCCTTTTCCAACCTTGTCTGCAAGCCCAGAAGCTTGGGGGTTGGATGTAGGAGCTTTAAAGTTAAATCCCAAAGATTGAGAAGCGTTTGGAAGCCAGACCTCCCGACTCCTGTGCTATTCACCACAAGACTACTATGAAAATTGAGGGTATCCACCAGCGTTTCTGAACAAGAGTCACCAGCTGCCAGAGGAGAAATGGGGACATCTAAAAGCCAGAGAGAGTTTGGGGTATGAACCACATAAAACTCAGGGCTATAGGCACACATAAATTTGTGAAAAGAAAAAAAAAAGTGGCTTTTTTTTTCCCCTCAACAATTCCTACTAGTATTAGCTGAATCTTTCACAATAAAGCCGCAAGAAATAAAACTATACCACTGAAAATGACGCGAATTTGGCAGTGAGGTTTTTCAGGGAAGGGACCACTGCTAGTACTTCTCCAAGGGAGACAGGTCCCCAGCCCAGCAGGACAGGTAGGATCTGGGATCCACCTCCCTGCGGAACATCCTTCTTGTTCATGGAAACCCTGTTCCTCCACAGCTTTCCTTACTCTTGCTTCCCCTCTAAGGTCTGGAAACTTTTGTAGTACCCACACACGTAGCGGACACTGTTCTGCTCAGGAATGAGGCCAGGCACCGCCCTGGAGAACACCACAAACACAACGCCTGCAGCTCCTCACCCTCGCTGCCCTGGGAAGGGAGGTGAAGGCAGCCCTCCGGGGCCAGGCCGCTCCAGCCGAGTGCGCCAGGCCAGGCCTGGTACCATTAAGCACTGAACTGTAGTTTCAGAGCACAGGTTATACCTTTATAATCACTGCACTGCCATAGTATTATATGGCCTACAGCCCGGCACCTAACTCGTAAGTGCTAATATTTAATGTGCCAAGTCACTTTGTGTGCACAGGCCTATGTATCCCACTTGTGTTTTCTGCCAGCCCTGCAGTTTCCATGTTTTTGGTGGGTTTTTTTTCTCCGTTATTCTTACACCACCAGGAATACTTCCACCAACGGCCCAGCAAGCTATGTGGGCGATTAGAAATCAAAATGGAAAAAATCAGTAACGAAGTTTTTGCTGCATGATCCCAGGAAAGAAAAAACAGATCTTTATAAAAGTTAGGGTTCTGTGTATTTATTTTATGACTCTTTGTGTGGGTCTGCGGAAGAAGCCAGAAGATAACATGGTTATGAAAAAAAATAAAAAATTAACAAGAGTGAAGAGCTAAAACAGCTATTTAAAACTATGAGGGAAACGTGGGAGTCCCTCAGCCAGGCAACCCATGACTCTCATCACCCAAAGCAGAGCCTTTGCCACACACGCGCTACCTGTGTGTGCATTCGTTTGCTCTGCATTTTAGCAGAGCCATGTTCTAAATAATTACTTGTTCTTGCAAATTTGGTACTTACCACCTCTCTGAAATTTGTGTGAAAGAGACTGTATTGCTTTTACATTTTTTTTTTTTCAAACACTGAAGTGGCTTGCAGATTTCTAAAGAACTAGAGAAAATGGGGGAAATTTGCTCCTTTTTCAAAATCATGAGCTTTCACAATCTCATACAAAACCAGAAAAACATCAATGCAAAGGGAATTCTTTGAAAATTTATCTTCCAAAGAGTGTATTCTGAATACAACACTGCCCCATAGTTTCGGGAACAACCCCAGGACAAAGTAGAAACAGGCATTTCAGGTACTTAAATATTTTCCCGTGGTGCAGGAGGGTGTACCAGGGATCACTACAAGCTCATAGACTTTCAACTACAGCTTAATAAGCAGAAAAGACATCGAGTACCTAAAAAGCCAAAGTGAGTTTCTCAACAAAGAGAAGTAAACTGTTAAAAAACAAAACAAAAAACATTACATACAAAGCAAGAGCTTGCCTGTATTTTTTAATAAGCACAGATATTGATCCAGACAGCAAGAATAAAAACAAACTAATAGCAACACCCTGAAGAACTTCATCAACAACACTGGTGACTGTTAGTAAAGAGAGGTGGGAATCCTTATATTGCAGTTGATTTAATCAGAAAACAAAAATAACAAATATAAAACATCCATTCACTTAAAACTAATTTTTGTACTTTCTCAAATATGCTTTGACACTCTCTTCCACTCAAATATCATCTCCATTGAGACAAGGATTACACAGTTGCTTTCAATCTCTGGTAAATTGAGTCAAGTCACAACCTTTCAAAATACACATACAAGTATACAGGGGGCAGACTATTGGTGTCCCTCAATTTTATTTGCAGTATTAGATTACAAATAATATACGATGTTCCTAGCACAGTACTGAATTCAGGCAATGTTATATTAATGTGCTACTTATATTCAGATGGAAAAAAGAAAAAAGGTTAAAAAAAATAACACAACATAAGCAGTTACTAGAATATTATATCAAGCCCATCTTCTTCAAACCCTAGAAATTGCTGGTTATAATATATTGTAACCCACATTATATGAAGATAAGTTTTGGGTTTGTAACCCAAAATCCTTATATTCAAAAGTTGGTTTTTTTTAAAAAAAAAAAACAAAACCAAAAAACACCACCCAACCAAAGAACCCCACACTTGTTACATTCAAGCAGAAATTCCACTTTTGTAAGTTTAGCTCATGTATGAACACCTCATACCTCACTTGAATGTTGTAATTTACATCACAAATAAGATGGGGGTCTACAGCACCCTTCATATGCCACAGATCATGAAAATTATTTTCCCATCTTTATTTACAACTTCTACAAAACAGGCTTATTCATGGAAGCCTTCATTTGAAGCTGCAAGTGTACTTCCCATGTGTTAAACATATCAAAAAAATAATGAAACTCAAAAAGTAACTCAAAACTGTATTTGAAGAAAAATTTCTGAATCACAATAAACGAAACCAAAGTTGCTGCACCTCAAGTCAGAAACACAGTAAGACAGGTCATAGGCACTATCTGTGAAACTGGTAATATTTCAGAGCTGAAAAAAATTTACAGCATCACTTAAATATGAACTGAACTTCATGAAATTGAAGGATTATTCCTGCAAGTCTATGTTCAGAAACTAAGAGTGAAAACATTTTAGGAGGAGAACCTTGAAAACATTAAGTAACACATGCTGCAGCTTCAAGAGGAGGATCACTGATATTTCAAAATGTGAAGGTTCATGGTCCCAGTTTCAGCTGACACTGCTTAAAGCATGCGCATGGGATAGGACACGCTGAGAACACCACATCTGGTTGCTCTCTTCAGTCCTAATGTAAATCACAATTACCATTGTTCTAACTCACCCAAGCTTGTAGAGATTAGCATTTCTTCCAAGGCGTTTGGTAATCTGCCTTGCTTTTCCACCCATGTCAGGGATATACACCTACATTCTTTCCACTTCATTTAGATCAGAATGACTGCATGGAATACCAACCTACCTAAACCTAAAATAAGACTGAATTACTCTAAATATCTCACATTTCATTGCCAGTCCTTCACTCTAATTACTATATCTAGCCTGCATTCCAGATTAACTACATTGGGGGGTGGGTGAAACATTAAGAACACAAGACTAGGTTTTACAGGGGAAGCAATAATATTTGAAGAACTTCCATATTTAAAAGAAACGCAACAACAGCACTAGAAAATAAAGTCTGATGAGTCTTCAGATGTTTCTAAAGCATTCAAAGGCCCTCTAGAAATTTTACAGAAAGAAACAGCCTAAAGAGTTAGAAGTTAATTTGACTATAGGTGACAATGACTCTTAAACATCAGACAGGTTAAGAGAAGTTAGAATGATAAATTCATAGTTACATGACACATCTTCCTCCTTGTCCCTTCCCTCCAAAGTACATCATTAAAATATGCTATGAAAGTAATGACAACTAAAATACACCAATAAAAAAGCTTCATGTAATTGAGCCTCCTGGTTTATGATGTTAATTTTTAAGCAAAGAAATTTCTACCCAAAAGAATACAAAACATTACTCAAGTGACTAATGAGAGGTAACTACATTAAAGCCTTGACCCCCACACAGGAAGAATAAAAACATATTTTAGCCAAGCATTCCATTTTAATAACTCTGCGTTATTCTTTAGACTAGAGAGAAATAAAAATTCTGAAAGGCATTTTGCAAACTTTCTTCATTTCCGTTTGTGTAACACATAATTACCATATACAATGAAAAAGGCATATCCAGGCATATTGGAATCCAGTTTAAGAAGTAAATTGGAGGGGGGGTGCTGCAGGAAATCACTGAATCATATTCCACATGGTCATTTATTCTTTTCTTTGTATTATTTAGATCGAGAAAGATTACATAGACGAACTTTGTTCAGCAATATATTTGTTATGACATCAACATCATATGTTTATCCCTAATCTCTCCTTTTTAATTTTATAAAAATCTTTTAAATGATTTAGCTACTGCCAAATAATTATATTAATAAACTATGATGATTATCCAAATGTTTCTGAAGATTCTAAGGTTAGGCATAATCATTTCGACATTGAATTATTCCTTACACTAGGAAGGCGGAAATACATGCATAGCATGAAGAAGAAGTATACAAAATTGCTCCAACAGTGCTCCCAACAGAGGCGGAAAAAGTGGGGAAAGGAGCTATACTGAGTTTTGAATGGCCTTAATGAAAAGTTCAAATTTTGCTGAGAAGGAGAGGGAAGTAGGACAGTGGAGGAACTTGGGAAGGGGATCACAAAGTACATCAACACATATAATAACTTCCTATAATAGTAAGTTTCCCTGCATTTCTGAAATACTTAAAACACTACTAAATAAAATGGCGTACCTCTGATTATCCAAAACTTGCTGCTCCTTGAAGATCAGCTAGTTGTATGCATATGTACACATACACTCATGAGCATAAACGCATGGAGAATTCTTAGAATTCTGGAATTGTGTAAATGTCACAATGTATAGTGTCATAGAGTATTCTTCCAAAAGCAAACATAACCACCTCACTTCTCCTAAGTGTTTTCAGTCAAAATACTTGAGGTGGGTAAAAGAGAAAGAAATATGGACTACAGGTATGATTCTCCAAGATGCAACAGAAACCAAACCAAACAAACAAAATTCTGTTTCCTTTATTTAAATAATAAGATATTACCAAATTCTTTTTTTAAAATCCTGGTTTAATTTTAGAGAAAGAAGAAACATTTTATTCATGAGCACTACACAGGTTCAAAGAACTTAAGAGGGAAACAAGGAGTTGGAATAAAAAGGTTCATCTGATCACAGTGAAGACCAGAATCTGACTTTTTTTTTTAAATACAAGAATTCTAAGAAACTTGGAACAGCCATGATCACCACCTTCACGAAACTGCACAAAATTTGGATTTTAAATTACTGTTTAATTAGGGACAAAAAGTACCCCTGAAAGAGAAATAATTATTCCACCTACAATGTAAGTTATACTTACTTACTTATAAGTATTGTTCATGAGTTTAGAAGTAAAACAAGAGATGATTTATTCTCCAATGAAACATGCTCACACAAAAAAATTGATATATTGATTTTCACTATCTTGTTTTTATTTATTTTGTTGTTACCATCTTCCACTCGGCTAAACTACGAAGTGTTATTATTTTTAGCTACTGTAAACTATATCAACTCCCATGAGCTAAACTGTTACTTAGCCAACAAACATGAAGCAGTGGAAGTACTTGTGCTAGTACTCAAAGAGCAGGGCTTTAATTTAATTTAACTTAATTTGCCATGCATGCATCCTATCAACAACTTGGAACTTATCCTTAGTTCTTGAAATTAGATATACTTCAAACTATACAGAGCTCAAACAACGAAAAACCCCACACAACCAAAACATAGCTCAAGTCAATATTTTATGATCAAGTTCATCTACAACCCTCCCTAGTGAATATTCAAAAAAATGGAATTTGCTGTCCCAATCACTATGCTTGTTACATTTTACATATTCATATAGTGCTGAGTATTCAAGACACATGTTTTCCAACTCAAACACTGCTAAATGCTTGATTTTTGCATAATTTGAATAAAAAGACAGCTAACATAATTCCTTGTTAGAAGATATCCACACAAATCCAAACCATGAAACTTCCCTGCCCTTATCCCTTTGAAATAATACTTCACCTTGTAATGACAACAGTACGGCCTTTCCTCTCTGTTACATTTGGTTATGCTGAAAAGGTAAAACTTACGTTCTTTTTTTCCTCCCTGAGCTTTGTTTCTGAATGAGGCAAAGGGTGGCAGCCAACAGGTCAAATAACCTAAACACTTACTTGAGCTCACTAGGAAAGCAATTTTACTGCCAAATGCTTGGAGCTCAAATATTTATAGAACAAGTTTGTTTCTCTTTTCTGTAACTAGTGAAAAGGTTTGTTTGTGAATGTTTAAATATTCTAAATCTTCTATTCATAAAGCTATTGGCGAAGTTTGATATGGATATATGTTTTATGAGAGAGAGGTTAAGAAATACAGCAACTACAAAACGTGTTACCAAGAATCTCCTGAATGGCAATTATGGTTTCAGAACAGAAAGACCTTCAAGGCACAGTATTGTGAAAGGCAGACACCTTGGAAGTAAATCCAGGATTAAGAGCTTTTTAAGTAGACCTTTCACGACAGTAAAGATGACTGCTTGTTCTTCTTTTTTACTAAAACTGGCTGGCTGGTTTCAAAATGAATGAGTAGGACATGAAGACAGCATTTTCTTAAAGGGTCCCACCACAGTTTCTAAAAGTCTCCTTGAACAATTTTAATCATCAGATTCCCAAATTCATTAAATAGGATTTCTGGATCAAACAGATCTTTTTTCTTTTCTAAGCACTCTATGCTTATCCTTCCCCCATCAGAGGGCTTCCTGCATTGCATTACAGTAGATTTTAAAGAGATGTGGAAAATTATTTATATATGCTAACTTGTCCTGATAAATTCAGTATTACACAAAAGACTAAAACCTAGAATCAATTTAAAGAGCTGCTGCATTTGCTCTAAGCAATGGTGGCAAAATGGGTGACAAGTATGTTGTGGGTCAGCGGAAACTAACCAAAACCTATACACCTACAAGTGAAGTTATGACAGAAAAATCCTTAATATTTTAAAGGTATCATATGCATTGTGACAACATAAGCTTCCATTAAAAACAATTCTTAATGGTACAAGAGAGTTATAAGCAAAAGGTAGGATGACAGAAGTATCATTTTTCTTTGCAGGACACCCATGATGACAATGGGCCAGAATCATGGCACAAGAGATAGAAAACTGATTTAACAACCATCCCTACATGACCTGTAGACTGAAAATATAACCAAAGGTAGATAGCTTTTTCTAGTTTCCAATTTAGTTTAGAACACAAACTCAGATTATTTACTCCATACCCTAATAACACTACTGAAAAACCAGGAATGCAACTCCTTTGCCAATAATTTGGGATTTTTTAGAATTACATATTTTTTTACCTGTTTGATAGTGATCATCTTTGTGGGCAACAAGCTCCAGCATGAGGAGGAATCAGGCAAGAAACAATGTTCAGCTTTCTAGCCCAAGAGCACTGGACCACTATGAATGCCACAGCAGCCTACCAGCCAGGGGTTCCTGCTAAGGACAGAGCCCTGAGGAGGATCCAAGGGCATATCACAAGGGTATCAGGCCATAAATAATCTCAGTAGCCTTCTCTTTGTAGCTGGTGGTAAGGCTCTCTTTCTGATGTCTGGCTTCAAGAGGCAACTCTTCCACAGAGCATTTCTGTTTCTCTTTCTTGCAAGTAAGCAGAGGGAACATCTCAAGACCACATTTCAGGCTCGCTCCCAGCTTCCTCTTCTTGATTTCCCCTCTAGTGACGAACTGCTCAATTCTTCTTAACAGTAACCTCTCTCCTTCTCCTCCCCCGCACGCATACAAATACACTTTTTGAGACTCTCAGATTTATTACCACAATTTAATAAAATCTTAGTTTGTCAGCCACTACTATTATGGAATCTGTTTCTTAAATAACACTCAGCACAATTTTGCATATAGCAGCTTCAAAATAAACCAGATACAAGGCTGAGATTGAAATCTGCTTATTTAGCCTCAACAGATCTGCCCACATACAGAAAATCGTTTTTAACAACTGTTTTCTAAAGGCATCAAAATATTATCTGTTGCATACCATGTTACTGAATTGACACTGATTAAAAAACACTACCGTACCCTATTTTTAGGGTTTTATATTTATAATAAAATTAAGTGAACCCATATTTCTTCAGAATTAAGTTGAGCTAAGATTCCAGATCAGGTGATAAAAGTATTATCAGGAAGACATCCATTATACAAAACATCTCTGTTGTCTTGTTTTACAGCTTTTTACCTGAGTAGATTTATCTTTCATACATGAAGGGTAGTGTACGTGGGGATCACGTGGCCACTGTCCTGTGAGGTAAGGTCCTGTTATTGTGTCCAAAGAAGAAGTTCGTCTTATGGTACCAGAAGTTCTGATTTGCTGGGATTTTGGCCTGTCCACTGTAGAAAACCAGAACAAAATCAACAAAAGAGTCAGGCTAAATTTGATATTGAATGTTAAAAGCTAGCTATGACACACAACGGCAAGAACACATCAGAAACCTTTGTCTAAATGCCAAGCTGAAAAGAATGCCATCACATCAAAGTAAATAACATCAGACAAAGGATAAAAAATACAAAAGGCAAAACTTAACAGTTACAAAAACCAACACCACATAAAGTGTCCATATCTGCAAAGAACCAGGCTACTTATGCAATATATTTTCATCAACAAAAATCATCAAGCAAATTTAAATACAGTGATGATGCAACTCAGGAAAGCCAGACATATAGAAATAGAAAATGTAACATAGTATCAGTATTGCGTTACTTTTTTTTTTTTAAAAGTCAGCTTGCTTAGCTTTCTAAATACTAAAACACAGATCACGACAAAAATCACAATTTTTAAGAAGATGCATATCCGATTTCTTGCTCTCATGTTCGTCATTCCAGATTATTTCCAAGATCCCAATACAGGCCTTAGCAAGCTGAAATCGTGGGACTGTGTGTTTCCCCCTGACACAGCTCAGGTCAAGGCAGCTACCATGTTTGTCTTCACTCATCACAGCACCTGCAATTGTTGACTCCTCCCTGTGCTTCTCTCCCCATACACCTAGATCATGGAACACTTTTTCCTGCATTTCATTTGGAAAGCAGAGAGTAGGGTGATTCATGAGATTGTTCTTTCCCACATCAGAGTTTTACAGCATGTTCTCTGGATCATCTTGCTTTGTCCTTTAGGCAAAATTACTTCATATACTCATTTTCTAGAGTTTACATAAGCCAACCTAAGGCCTACATTACAGCTACTCTCTATCTTGCTCACCCCTACTAAAAGAAGTTTGCAAGTGGGATTACTTTCAAGTTAGTCACACGCTACACACTGATCCGACCTACCGAAACCCTACTCACTGCTCAGAGCTGGAGAGCAGACCTGCTAGCACACTTCTGAGACCAAACATGGGCACTGACCTCCACATGCATTTTCTCCTTGTTTACCATCTAGAATTGCTGGATCTCAAAAGGCAGACTCCATCATCAGTGTTTTACATAGCATTCAGCACAATGATTAAAGTACAGCTTCCACTAATACAGCATGCTTATAGTATGATATAAGAACAAGATAATGTTAAAACAGACCATTTTAGAGAAATGCAGAGCTGCTGAAACACTTCATTAACAACTAATTTTAGGTGAAGAGTTCTAAATAATGCTGTGAATTGGAAGCATCATAGTATATCATACTGCCTTTGTATAATATAATGCTTTGATTGCAATGTTATCTATAAACCAAATCCCTACAATTTCAAACACATCTATCCTCATAGGATTCCAATTGTGACAAATTTGCATTTTAAGAAATATTTTATAACTATTAAAAGTAAGAAAGCCTGAAATCCAAAATAAAGGTGACAAATTTTAAACACGAAAACGGTATTTACATTCACGCTGAAACACAGAAGTACCTAAAGGGTGCATACCTACAACGCATTCTTCCAACCTTGACTGCCATGCTATGGCACTACACTACTTTCCCAGGTAGCTTGAGTTTTGAAAATTCCTCCAAAAGCTCTGTTCATTAGAAATACATTACATGCGAAAAATCTATCAGGAATTTGTTAAATACATAAGTAGTTAAGTATGTTCAAAAAAAACAAAACAAAACAAAACAAAACAACCCCCCCCCACACCTTTTACAAGAAGTTAAAGACCATGCAGAGACAAACTGGCAAGACAATGTCTGAAGATGGGGAAATAAGGACTAAGCAAAATTTACCTTTGCAAACTTTATATTTAAAAACTCTTGCTGAAAAAAAAAAAAAACCAAGCCCACAAGAAAACACAAGTCCAAAACACACAAAATATATACAACCAGAGAATGATCTAAGGTCTGTGTCTTGTTCTACACCCAGAGGAAAGGCAACAGCAATGCTGGCATTAATAAGTCACATAATTGCCCTGCAAGGGCAATGGACACAAACACCACCACAAGTTACTGCATTTGTATTTTGCCATGGTGATCTTGGAAGCGGACTGCAGGACACTGTCAAACTCTGAAGTCAGGAGAAGGAAAATTCAAGACACAGTCTCCTAAGTCCCTACTACTCTTCACTATTTTTTTGAATCACAGGAAACGAACCAATGACACCACTGCGCAACTGCAGAAACCAATCTCGGTTAGCACTCATGTAATGCCATCCCTACTCCACTGCTCTCTGTGCTCCTTCCATCTATTCTGAGACAGCATGCACAGATGTATGAACGCACCTAGTAAGGTGATTCACTGAGTTAAACATAAAGAAAACTAAAACCTACCCAAAAAAAGTCATAAGCACATGGTTTTCCCCATTACAGGCAGGTTGGCTGTGCTGCTTTTGGCTGGGGTAGAGTTAATTTTCTTCATAGTAGCTAGTATGGGGCTGTGTTTTGGATTTGTGCTGGAAACAGTATTGATAACACAGGGATGTTTTCATTACTGCTGAGCAGTGCTGACACAGAGTCAAGGCCTTTTCTGCTTCTCACCCCACCCCACCAGCGAGGAGGCTGGGGGTGCACAAGAAGCTGGGAGGGGACACAGCTGGGACAGCTGACCCCAACTGACCAAAGGGCTATTCCATACACATATGATGTCATGCTCAGCATATAAAGCTGGGGGAAGAAGGAAGAAAGGAGGGACATTGGGAGTGATGGCATTTTCTTCCCAAGTAACCATTACACGTGATGGAGCCCTGCTTTCCTGGCGATGGCTGAACACCTGCCTGCCGATGGGAAGCAGAGAATGACCTCCTTGTTTTGCTTTGCTTGTGTGTGTGGCTTTTGCTTTACCTATTAAACTGTCTTTATCTCAACCCACGAGTTTTCTCACTTTTACTCTTCTGATTCTCTCCCCCATCCATCCTGCTGCAGGGGGAGTGAGCGAGCGGCTGGGTGGCACTTAGTTGCTGGCTGGGGTTAAACCACAACATTGGCATAATATAAGGGGCAGAAACAACCACAGGAGAGCCAGGAGGAACAACAGGGCTGCAGCAGCGCTGAGGTCTGTTCAATAAAAGTTTCAGCTCTCACCCTTTTATGCTATATATCCTTAGACCATAAAAAAATAAAGGAGAAGGGATCTGCAAGCATGAAATTTGAAGGAACTTCTACAAATTAGCATTTGACAAACTGTCTTGTACAGTAATGAACTTAAAGATGACTGGATGCCACGGAGAACAGAGTTGAACTGGACCACAATAATGGTGGCTCAGATCAGCCTAAAATGTTTTCTAAATATTAAAACTGCTCTCAGGATTTATTTCTTAACTTTGCTTTTCTCACCTCATTGTAAGTCTGGCTTCTTGCTACTCTAGGAGCTACTACAGAACTTTCACTTCTCCCCACACTTTCATTACCGATGGGATTTTGATGCTCCTATCATGCATATCCTTCTCCAGTCCCAATCACTTTGTCCGGATGGAAACCTCAGCTTCGGTTTTCTCACAGAAGCAAAAGAAAAGTGCAGCAAGTGCCATCCAATATCTGAAGCACTTCAACAGCTCCTGAAGTTAGCCAACAGACTTCAGCATCCAGAAAGGCTTCATCAATATTCAGAAATTTCTAAAATTACAGAATGATTTTACCCAAGTTTCAGACTATACCACATCCGACAGTACTGGAGTGTATGAGTGGATTTTACTGCAGTGGTAAGTCAGAACAATTCTGTTCTGTTTCCCAGGGATGTCTCACATGGAGCTCAGCTCTACCTCCAGAGCAAGTAAACTTTGGAACACAGTACTTGAGAAGCGTAACGTTACCTGAAAGAGTTAGCTAGAAATTACGAAAGCAAGATGCATGCTCATAGGAAAGCAAAATACGTCATGTTATTTAAAATATGCCACAAGTTTTAATGGTATGTATTTAGGGGCTATTGCTACCCATTTCTAGTTATAAATGATTTTACGTAAAATGGCACAAGGGTCCACCTGAATACTATAGCTGGTGAAACCTGGCATGATCCTACCTCCCAGCAGGAA